AGTTTTGGTTTGAAAAAGCTCCTCCTCCTCCTCCTGAAATTCCTAAAAACCAAAAATTCCTTAAAAAATCCACCCACCAAGGAGTCAGAGAAGCCCAGGAGGGTTTGGGTTGGAGGGACCTTAAAGATCACCCAGCTCCAACTCAGCTCCAGGTTCTTGGAGCATCAGAAGAAATTCGGAATATTTTTAACTTTTTTTTTAGACTTTTCCTCACCAAAACCAGCACTGGGAGCCTGTGCTGCCCGAGCAGGCTGGAATCTCCTGGGACAATCCCATTTTCCAGCTGCTGAGGCCCTGCAAGGTTCAATATTTCCTCTCTGGGACACGGGGGGGGTTGGATGCTACACCTGCCCCAGGTGAGCTCAGCCTCAAAGCACCTTTTCCCAGGGGATTTTCCACAGCACAAACCCCCTGCAGGTGATAATTCCCACACCCCTGGCTCAAGGAATGTTTTCCTGCATCACCATCCCCACGGCTCCACCCATCCCAAATTTACCCCAAAGCAGAACAACTTTTTTATTTAATTTTTTTTTAAATGAGGTCTCCAAGCCTGCAGGGAATAACTGGGATAACTCTGGGGGCTCAGCAGCCTCGTGTCACCACCTCAAACCCTCTTCCTGACCTTTCCATCCCTTCCCACCTCTCCCAGCCCCTGGGAGCTCGGGGGATGCTCCAGGGAAGGTGAACTGCTCTGCAGGAGCTGGTACACGCCAATTTTCACTCCCAAAAACCCCAAAAAACCCCTTCAGCCACCCCACAGAACTGCTCAGGCTGGGAGGGATCCCCCAGGATCAAATCCCACGGGAATCCTCGAAGCCAAGAGCCCCCCAAGTTCCTTTTTCCTGGGGTTCCAAAGATTCCCAAATTTAATTCAGCTCCAGGAAATCTTTAAAACCAAGAACTTCCCAAGTTCCTTTTTCCTGGGGTTCCAAAGATTCCCAAATTGAATTCAGCTCCAGGAAATCTTTAAAACCAAGAACTTCCCAAGCTCCTTTTTCCTGGGGTTCCAAAGCAGATTCCCAAATTGAATTCAGCTCCAGGAAATCTTTAAAACCAAGAACTTCCCAAGTTCCTTTTTCCTGGGGTTCCAAAGATTCCCAAATTTAATTCAGCTCCAGGAATCCTTAAGGCCAGGAGCCCCCCAAGTTCATTTTTCCTGGGGTTCCAAAGCAGATTCCCAAATTGAATTCAGCTCCAGGAAATCTTTAAAACCAAGAACTTCCCAAGCTCCTTTTTCCTGGGGTTCCAAAGCAGATTCCCAAATTGAATTCAGCTCCAGGAAATCTTTAAAACCAAGAACTTCCCAAGTTCCTTTTTCCTGGGGTTCCAAAGATTCCCAAATTTAATTCAGCTCCAGGAAATCTTTAAGGCCAGGAGCCCCCCAAGTTCATTTTTCCTGGGGTTCCAAAGCAGATTCCCAAATTGAATTCAGCTCCAGGAAATCTTTAAAGCCAAGAACTTCCCAAGTTCCTTTTTCCTGGGGTTCCAAAGATTCCCAAATTTAATTCAGCTCCAGGAATCCTTAAGGCCAGGAGCCCCCCCAAGTTCCTTTTTCCTGGGGTTCCAAAGCAGATTCCCAAATTGAATTCAGCTCCCCACAGCAGCATCACCCAGCTGGGACATTGCTGAGTCTCTGGAGCTCCTCAAAATCCTCTGCAGCACTTAGGGCTGGAACAATTAAATTTCCATCCCAATTTTCACCCCAAAACACTGCCCAACACGTGGTGGGCCAGACCCTGCTCCAGGCAGACAAATGCCACCAGACCCAACCCAGCAGAACATCCCTAAATCCTCTCTTCCACACCAAAAATCCTCAGCCCCGTTTTCCCCCCTGCACTTTCATCCCCAGAGATGATTCTGCACTCACAGCACCCGAAAAATTCAGATTTTTTTACATTTTTCCCACATTTCAGGCACTCCACCTGAATTTCCTATGCTTTTATTCACTAGCACAATTTTTTTGGGGTTGGCAGCAGGTCTCCCAGTCAGTGCAAATTAGCAAATTCTATTAATTGATGATGTGGAAAGCAAATAGGATTTAGGAAAAGATCAGCTTTTTGAAGCTCTGCATCAGTTTGATGTCCTATTCCCAAAGAAAATAGGGATCTGTAAGAAAAGCTTTGTGAATTGAACAAAAAAAAAATAAAAGCTTTAAAAGAAAACCCCAACCCCAAAGTATTTAATTTAAGTCATATTAAATAAAATTAGTTTAATGCCATTTTTCCCCAGCTGGGCTACAGGAAACTTCTCTACCACCAAGACACCTTTTATAAACACAACCTCAGGCTAACTTCCCAAAACCTCCCCCCCCAAAAAAGAGCATAAAATAAATTATCTTTTCTAAGGAACCGATCACGTGGAGCTTGCCAAAAACAGATTGGGAGGAAAAACAACGCCCAAAATATTCCCCAAAATTGGGATTTTTAATGCTGACACGCCCAGGCCAAGCACTGCAGTCCCCAAACTGCAGCAGGCACGGAGCTGGAGCTGCATTTTCCCCTGGAACAGCAGAGAGCACCCAGAAAAATGAATATTTTTAGGTGCTGAGCAGAACTGAACCCCCCAGGCTGAACAAACCTGTGTGGGAAGCTGCTCTGCCCACGGAGCTGCTGCTGGCTGGGCCACCAGCAGGGCCAGGGGACCCCCAGAGCCACCCTGGGGACCCCCAGAGCCACCCTGGGGATCCCCAGAGCCACCCTGGGGACCCCCAGAGCCACCCTGGGACCCCCAGAGCCACCCCAGGGACCCCCAGCCACAGCCTGGGGACCCCCAGAGCCACCCTGGGCACCTCCAGCCACAGCCTGGGGACCCCCCCAGCCACAGCCTGGGGCCCCCCAGACCCACCCTGGGGACCCCCAGAGCCACCCTGGGGACCCCCAGCCACAGCCTGGGGACACCCAGAGCCACCCTGGGGACCCCCAGAGCCACCCTGGGCACCTCCAGGGACCTTCAGCCACACCCTGGGCACCTCCAGCTGCACCCTGGGCACCTTCACCCCATCCAGGGCACCCCCAGCCCCACCCTGGGCACCCCCAGCCCCATCCAGGAGCACCCCCAGCCCCACCCTGGGCACCTCCAGGGACCTCCAGCCCACCCAGGGCTGCAGAACCAGGGATGGACAGGGAACATCTCACCTGGAGCTGCTGATCCCACCCAGGTCCCTCCCTGCCCCTGCTGAGGTCCCACCCCTGCAATTTCGGTGTGGCCTCACCAATCTGTTGATTTCCCACTCCCATTTCACCCCCAGTGACATCAGAGGTGAATTAAGCAGGTTTGTTGGGTTTTTTCTGGGAACTGCTCCATCTCCAAGCCCTGTGGGATATTTCCCCTTCTCCAATTTTACAGCTACGAAACACCCAGGACAAAAAACTTCCCACCAACAAAGAATAAATCCTATGGGGATAAGGAACTCAACTAATCACAAAAAAAACCCCAAAAAACAACTGTGTCAAAACATGAAGATTTCAACCAAATATTAAATAAAATAAATTACTAATCAGGAAATCTAACAAGTGCTACCTCAGAGTCGATGGGAATGAAAATATTTCACTTGAAGGCAAATTCCTCTGAGCAGGAAGCCTTGGATGGAGAACAGAGAAGGAATTTCCTTGGGTCTATCCCAAAAAATCTTCCTGCTCAGGTGCCATCAGCAGAGTTTTTGCCCCGTCTCGAGGGTTACAAGGAGTGGTTTTGTCACCAGACTTCTCCTGGCAAGCTCAGGGCAGCTCTCACTGAGAGTTACAATAGCAGAGCCAGTCAGCACCAGAGAAATTCAAAACCATGGGGTTTAAAACCTTTGAAATGTAGTTCAAATGGACATTTCTATCTATTTGTAAAAGCATCACGAGTTCTGCATCCAAACGGCCTCTCCACGAGGCCTCAGCTCCCAGTTTGTGGCTGCTCCAATTTCAGCTGGGGTTTTTTTTTTGCTGCAATCTCAAAATCTGGCAGCAAATCTTCCCCCCCAGAGGACCAGCATCACCCAGCTGCTGAGGGGCTGCAGGTGCCCTTCCCCAGAACTCCTGGGGCAGCTCCCAGGAGCAGCTCTGAACCCTCCCCCTGGGAGGGGAATCCAGCAAAGAGCCTGGAATCCTCACTCCAAGCACAATCCCTGAATTTCCCTGATCATTGCCTCTGGTTTCCAGGCAGTGGGGTTGGCTTGAAGATGTGACATTTGATTTTTCAGGGGTTTTGTGGGTTTCCATCTGCTTTTTTATGCCTCCACTCCAAGCCAGGTGGAATTGGGATGTCAGTTGAACACTGCTCTCCTAGCCTGGAACACGAGGGGGGATTTGCAGCTGAGGAAATGAGAAATGACTGAACCTTCACCTTAAAAACAGCGTGGAGCAGCGGGGTGAAGACCTCCCCTGGGGAAAGTGGCCCTCAGCAGAGCTCTGCACCACCAGAGATGGGTTTGGGACACATTTGAACCGAGGTGTTTGGTACAGCAGGCCCTTGAGGAAGGGAGGGGGCCAAGAGGGAGGCAGGAAAAAGAGATTTGGAAAGATTTAGGATCCAAAAATAAAAATAATCCAGCTGGATTTGGGTTCCAAAAGGAACCCCAGGCACATCCCTTCCACTGCAGCTAGAGGTGAGCAATCAGTGCCCAAAATCATTTTCCATTGCAGCAAAGCAGTTTCAGGCTCCTCAGAGCACCCAACTCTGCTCTCCAAGCCAAGCCCACACCTCCCCAGCTGCCCCTGCACAGCATCACCCCGAATCTGGGTCAGAGGGGGGGCAAACAAACCCAAACCCAACTGAAAGCAAACCTTTCCACCCCAGAAGTGCCCATGGGAGGGCTGGGTGAGCAATGCCCTGCACTGGAGGCTGAGTCCAGGTGAGGTGAGGATCCATCCCCTGGGAGCTCCAGCACAAAGCCCTCAGGAGGAGCCAGGAGCTGCAGCTGCTCTAGAGAAGAGATTCTGAATCCTTTGTTGCTCAGGCTGATACTCACAGATTCAACAACAATAAAAAAGTTATTTCCTAAGAAGAATTTGTAGAATTTTCCTTTTTTTTTTTTTTTTTTTTTTTTTTTTAAGTCTCCAATTCTGGGTCTGGAACTGTTGCTTGTTTTGTTTTGTTTTGTTTTTTTTCCCCAATACTTCAGCAGAGCAGGGAAAATTCTGGAAGTGCAATACTAGGAGAGCTCCTGGCCAGGCTGCTCAGTGTTCATGTTGACAATTGATTTTGTCTTCAGAATGCTCCAAAAAATCCAGCATTTCCTCTATGATGGCCTGCAGGGCCCGGCCCAGCTGTTCTGCAGAGTAAGGTTTTCCCAGAGGGGGCACATGGACAAATGCTGACCTGCCACGGCTCTGGTACAAGGAGGTGTAGTAGGTGAAGTCACAGAGGTACCTGGAACACAAAACCAGAGATTATTCACCAAAATCCTTTCCTCTCTATTCTTTTAGTACAGTTTTAATGCATCATAGTTTTAATGCATCATTTCAACAAAACACACACCACAATACACCAAACCAGCCTCCTGAATCCTTTTCCCTCTATTCTTTTAGTACAGTTTTAATGCACCATTTCAACATAACACACACCACAATACCCCAAACCAGCCTCCTGTATCCTTTCCTCTCTATCCTTTTAGCACAGTTTTTATGCACCATTTCAACATAACACCCACCACAATACACCAAACCAGCCTCCTGAATCCTTTCCTCTCTATTCTTTTAGCACAGTTTTAATGCACCATTTCAACATAACACACACCACAACATACCAACCCAGCCTCCTGAAACACAGAGCCAACACTCCCATCTCCCCAGGAGCACCCCACAAAGCATCCAGCTCACCCCAGGAGCTCAGCCCCTACTGAAGGAGTGTAGGCGAATGCCCCCAATGACAGAGTGGCAAAGCTAGCCTTTGTCCCTCAAAAAAGGAAAGAAGCCCAGAAGTTTCTGCCAACGATCAGGTGAAAAGCCACCTCATAGGGCCCCAGAGGCTTCCCTAAAACCTTGGGGTCACCTCATGGGATAGGAGCCAAAAAGTCCTGCCTGGGGCATAAGGTAGAAAAGGAGAGAACAAAAGGACCACGAGGCTTTTGTGAAGGTGTTTTCTAGCAGGAGCAGACCTCTGTACCTGGCTCGGATTTTCTGTTTATTGTTTTGCCTTTTATTAAACCTTTTTGTTTCAAACACTGCAGCAGAAGCCATCCTGCCCATTCTTCACATCCAAAGGTAACAGCCAAGCTATCCTTGGGTGGATTAGGTTCCCTTTGGAGGGCTCCTAAAACCCAATACCCTACCTGCCAGCGTCCTTGGAGATGGTGACAGTGACATCCAGCCCCAGGGCAGAGACCCTCCTGCAGACGGCGTCCATGTCGATGATGGAGTCGATGCACTCGGGGCCCCCCTCCACGCAGCACTGCGAGCCCGGGCAGAAGCGGCAGTTGTCCAGCCCCTTGTAGCCCACGTTGTGGCCACACTTCTCCAGGGTGACAGTGGTGGCCATGCCCGACACCCCCACGTGCACCACCAGCTGTGGGGAGAGGGGGGGTTGGATGCTGCTGGTCCTGTGGGATCCTCTGGGAATGTTCCTCTGTCTGCTCCGGGGTGTCCTGACCCCAGGGAGTCTGACTGTGACCCTCACTCATGGAGAAAGGCTCCTAAACTTCAAGGTGGACCAGAATCCACAAAAGTGTGAAATTGTAGTCATGATATTTTATGAAAAATCCTTTTTTCGTAAGATTTTCTCTTATTCTAGCTGAGAAGCCTCAGAAAAGAAATGCAAACAATTAACTATCTGCTGCTGTGGAATGCAACAGGTAAATCTGGGACTGGTGCATGTTGGCTGCTTCTAATTAATGGCCAATCACACTCTCTGGCTCAGACTCTCTGCGAGTCACAAGATTTGTTATCCTTCCATTCCTGTTCTCTCCAGCCTTCTGATGAATTTTTTATTTCTATTTTTTTAGTATAGTTTTAATACAGCATTTTAATATAATATTTATCATAATATAATAAATCAGCCTTCTGAAACATGGAGTCAGGATTCGTGTCTCCTCACACAAAGCATCAACCACATGAAACAGATTACAGAGAGTGGTGCAGGTGGATCACCTGTGAGAAATTCAGGTTTTGGGGTTTTTAGTGGGGATGGGAGCAAGATGGAGGGCACAGGGTGCTGTCCTGGGCTTCTTCTTCCTCCTCCTTCTTCATGGCTTTGGGTGGCATTTTGTAATTGGGCAGAAAAATCTGCATTGGGGCTCTTTGGGATGAGTTTTTGGGTTAAAAGGGGAAACAATCCAGGTGTCAGCTCTTAATTGCATGGTTTAGTCTTAACAGACCTTGTGACAAGAGATTGTTGGCCATTTGGGCCTTCTAATGAAGAGCTGCTGGACTCATGGTTGTGAGACTGTTTTACTGGTAAGAAATGATAAACATTTGAGTCCAAACATGAAATAATGTCTCAAGTGCCTTCAATCCAGACCCAGAGAAACCAAGAGGGACCCCACAGGATCCTTCCACGTGGGGACACCTGCCTGCCACTCCTCTCCCTTATCCAAGCTCCCAGTCCAGCTCTCCTGGAGCCACCCTGGGGACTGGAAGCCTGGGGACATCTCAACAGGAATCGTGGAATCCTCTGGGGTTAGGTTCTGCACGTGGCATCAGCCCAAGGCTGGACGTGATTTTTGATCATTTTCCAGCCTGAACGATCCTGTGGTAGGATTTTAGGGTCCTCCCCACCCCAAACCACTCTGGGATTGCATGGTTCCAGCCCCAGTGAGCCAGGGAGGTGTTACAGAGGAACGAGGTGTTTCCATCGTGGGTTCAGCACAGCACAATTGCCATTTCACCCCCTCCTGACCTGAACTGTGATTCCATCAGGGTAAAAAGGAGCCTTGGCACCTCCACAGCTGCTGCAGGAGCTCAGGTGGCACAGACAAACCACGAGCTGTCTAGACAGCCCTTGGCAGTGGCCCCTTCACAGCCACTGGAGCACTCCGAGCTGGAAAATCCCAGCAATTCCCATTTTCTCACCACGAAAGAGGAAAAGACCCAGCCAGGGATGACCAGGCTGAGGGAATACATAAAAAAGGAGACTTCACATGGAGGTTTTGCTGGGTGGTTTTTTGATCCCCCCTTCACTCACTCACTTGGGGACTGTGCTTCTTCCACAAGGCAGGAATGAGCCTCTGCACGGTCTGGTACTCAACAGGGACCTCATAGACATGCAGATCCACGTCATCCCTCAGCCCCAGCTTCTCCAGCTCCTAAAAAACACCAGCAAAGCAAAACCAAGATGGTCAGACAGGACATGAGCAGAGGATTTACTCCTGGAAGGTTTGATGGCAGAGTGGGGAACTAACACAAATTTACAGCAGGTTGTGTAACCCCATAAACTGCACCTGCACTGAGTTTACAGCAGTGAAAAAAAACCCCAAACCCACAATGGCAACAACAAAGGCATCTCTCCACCTGGGTGAAGTTTCACCCACAGAACCGTTTGCGTGGCTCTGATGTGTGTGTGACAAAGAAATCAACATTTAACTGACAACAGTTATCAGCAACACCCACGCTGCCAGGGAAAGCTTGGCTCTGGTATTTATAGAGGGAGACAGGCACAATCCCTACTTCTTCCAAGGAGTGACAGAGTGGAGAAGGTGGCACTGCAGGGATTTTATCCATCACCCTGGCCTGGAGAGTAATTTCACATTTATTTCCAGATAAAGGGCTCTCAGGGCTGGGTGACAGCACTGGTGATTCAACTAACCCAGTAAATTATTTCTGCCTCTCTGACATGAAAACATCCCAAATATCCTGGCAATAAACGGAGCCAATTTCCTTCAAACCTTTTAAAACACAAAGTGGCAGTTAAATACCTTGCAAAGACTTTAAAACCAGAGGAAAGGGGTGTTTTTCTCCCCAGTATTTCTGACAGGAAAGCACTGTTTGATCCCAAAACTGGGAGTTCCCCCTACACCCAGGTTCTCCCTTCTCTCCAGTCCCACCAGTAAGGCTTTGGTTCCTCTCAGAGCCATCAACCCCAAACTTCCCACAACTCAAGGAAACACCCACAAGGTCTGAAGCCTCTGGGAAAAAAAGGTTTTTTAAAAAAACCATCAGCTGAGCCTGAACCTTGGAGCCAGGTGACAGCAGGAAGCATTTTCCAGTGGGAGAAGAGACCTTGGCCATCATGTGTAAGGAATTTCTGCAGCATCCAACCTGGACCAAGCTTCCTCTTGTCAGCAAATATCCAAAATTGCTGTTCTGATGGAACTGAGGTAGGAACAGGTAAAAGCCATCAAACTATCAAAGGACATTTCCAAATATTCCTGAATTTGTCTCTGTTCCAGGTTTGGTTTGATCACCAGAGCCACGAGCTGCTCTTTGAAGCAATTCTCAGGTTTTGTTTTCCTCCTTGCAGATCAGCTGTTTTCACTCTCCAACCTCGTATTCCCCCAGGTTAAAAATTAAAAATTAAAGACACTTGAAAGGAGAAGACAAGTTGAGGTTTGAGGCCTCCCCCATGAAATGTGAGCAGTGTCTTGCCATCGTTTTTCTGTGTTTTTATCAGCATGAGTGGTTTTCTACCGAGGAAAAAAACACCTTTCCCACTTGTACAGCCAAACCACAGGGATGTAACAAGATTTAGGACAGCTAAAACACCCAGAAAGGCCAAAGTGACACTTTCACAGAGCAGCAGATATGAGCAACGATGATAAATCACAGGCTCTGGCTCCCAGGGCAAGGCTGATATTAAAGCCCCGTGTATTGATTAGTGTCTGGCACACTCAGACATTCATTAGCACAGAGGGAGGGAAGGGAAGGTTCATCACAGCTCCTCTGCACAAATGTGCCTTCAAAACCTCACCTGGAGCCTCAGCAAAGGAGAGGAGTGTACAGATGAGAGTGTTCCAACACCAGCCAGCCTCTTCAGGAGGAGAAGAAACACTTTTTAGGAGGGTTAATGCTGATGAGAGTGATGCTCCTGAAGGTGAAGGGCTGGGAAGGGAACAGCTCCTGGGGATGGATTTGATGGTGGGGAAGGAAAAAGATCCTGAAGATGGATTTGATGGCTGGGATGGGGAAGGAAACAGTTCCTGGGGTTGGATTTGGTGGTGGGGAAGCAAAAAGATCCTGAAGATGGATTTGATGGTGGGGGTTGGGAAGGGAGAAAGTTCCTGGAGTTGGATTTGATGGTGGGGATTTGGAACAGCCCCTGGGGATGGATTTGATGGTGGGGAAGGAAAAAGATCCTGAAGATGGATTTGATGGTGGGGATTGGGAAGGGAACAGCTCCTGGGGATGGATTTGATGGTGGGGATGGAGTGAAAAAGATCCTGAAGATGGATTGAAGGTGATGGGGTGGGAATGGAACAGCTCCTGGGGATGGATTTGATGGTGGGGAAGGAAAAAGATCCTGAAGATGGATTTGATGGTGGGGATGGAGTGAAACAGTTCCTGGGGATGGATTTGATGGTGGGGATGGAGTGAAAAAGATCCTGAAGATGGATTTGATGGTGGGGATGGAGTGAAAAAGATCCTGAAGATGGATTTGATGGTGGGGATGGGAAGGGAACAGCTCCTGGGGATGGATTTGATGGTGGCAAGTTTTGCTGGATGAAAAGAGAATCCTCCAAGCACTTAAACCTTAACTTTACCAAGCCACAACTTTTCTTTTAAGCAAGGCCAGCGCTCCATAATGAAGATGTTTGTAAGCTTCCCCCCCTCCCTGAACAACTTCTCCCCCCAGCCCTGTCCACCTGACAAGCAGAGCCCACAGAACATGTGTGACCGATTCCCTGACCCCTCCACAATGCTGCTCTTTGTCAGCCTCTAATATCCTTATCAGGTCTGTCTAGACACCCTGACAGCAATTGTCCTTCCTAATGTCAAAATGCACTCTGACCTCGCTCCTCCTCCTCCTCAGCACTCTGGGGGGATGAAGGAGCCCAGCAGCTTCACAGTCCACAGGTCACACCTGTGTCCACACCTAAGTCACAGCAGGGAGGGCAGAAAACGAGAGGAGAAAAGCTCATTTCAGTGATTTCTTCTTGGAAGAACCTCCCCAGCAAAAGTTGCACCCGTGGGAAAAAAAATAAATCCTGAACTGAAAGATTAAAATGATAAAAACTCAAAACAGTAAATCCAAATCAACATGGAGTGGTTTTGCTGGGAGCCTTAAAATAAAGCAGAAAGGAGTTTTTCTTCCTGCTGATTTTATAGGACAGCTATCCTCCCAGTGAGTAAAAACCCAAACATTTCATTGGGGAGCTTTTTTGGGGTGAAATTTTGAGACTTTTCACTTGGGCAGCATTATTAGATTGCTGCTGCCACTATTTAAGGTAGCCATGTGTAAAAATCAGTCAGCTGCAAAACCAGACAGAAATTCACTGCACTTCCAGGGAAAACTCACCCCGTGTCCGTGTTCTGTGGGAGAACCCAAATAAAACCAGGGGGAGTGAAAGGGATAAAAAAAAAAGGGAATTTTATCCTCGGGATGCAGCACAATAAAAGATGTAATAAACCAGAACTAGCTCAGCCCTAGAGCTAGGAAGGATTTAGAAAGATTGTTTAATTGATTTTTCTTCTATTAAAATGCAGATCACACCGTCTGGGATTCGGGAACTCAGACACGCCTTTGTGTCCACCCCGCTCCATGAAGTCCCCGTCTGAAACTCGCACAATGCCCACCTCGGCCAGCCTCAAAGACATGCTGTTCCTTTTTTGTCTGGGCCTCTGGGGGCTGAGACAGGGCAAGGAAAGGCAAATCCTCCCCGCTGCCTCCGAGCTGATGTTTTCACTCACAATAATCCGGGCCCGGAGCCTCCAGCGCGCCTCCAGTTTGTACTCAAAACAGCCCCAAATCCACTCAAAACATACTCAAAACATCCCAAATCCACTCAGAACATCCCCAAATCTGAGTTTAGACAATCAAGACAGCCCCAAATATGAGTTTAGACACTCAGAACATCCCAAATCTGAGTTTAGACACCCAAAACATCCCAAATTTTGAGTTTAGTCACTCAAAACAGCCCCAATTTAAGTTTAGCCACTTAAAACATCACCAGTTCCGAGCTTAGACACCCAAAATATCCCAAATCCACTCAGAACATCCCCAAATTGGAGTTTAGACACTCAAAACATCCCCAATTCTGAGTTTAGACAGTCAAAACACCCCCAATTCTGAATTTATCTACTCAAAACATCCCAAATTCTGAGTTTAGACAGTCAAAACACCCAAATTCTGAGATTCAGCCACTCAAAACACCCCCAATTCTGAATTTATCTACTCAAAACATCCCCAATTCTTAGTTTAGCCACTCCAAACATCCCCAATTCTGAATTTATCCACCCAAAACACCCCCAACTCTGAGTCCTGTCATCCCCCAAGCCCCTAAAAATGGATTTTAAATGGAGGGGATGACTTCATCCATCAGCCACACAGCTGAGCAGCCACCAGTGCCCCGAGCTGCTTCTCTTTAGGTTTGTTTATTTTTTTTTTTCAAGCAACATCTCAACACCCACCACTCCTCCTGCTCCAAAAACAGCCTTTTGTCTGTCTCCTCTAAAATAAAAGCAGCTATTTACAACAGCTGACATCACACCAGCAAGAACAAACCAAATCACTCAGCCTCACTTCTGACTTTTAGCAATGTCCTGGTTTTTCCACCATCCACAACCTGCATTTTCCTCCAAACTGACCCAAACTTAAATCTATCCATCCCCAAAAAGCTCTTGGAGGCAAAGGTTTTGTCTTCTCCCAGCAGCCAACACATCAGGCAGCTGGACATTAGTTGGCTGTAATTGATTAGAGTTTGTGATTTAATTTAAAAGCATTTGAAGGAAGATATTAATCTCAGGGCTCTGAAGGGGAAAGAGACGTGGTGGGGAGAAAAATAGATTTAATTCCCTGGGCAACTGTACTAAAAGGTACCATGGAATTCCCAGGAGCTTTGCCACAAACCCCATCCAGAAGTGACAAAGAAGGAAGAAGTGGGGTAATGTGGCAGCACCATCCCTGTAAAAAGGGTTTTTACAGCAAAAAAAACCCCTTTAATTCCATCGAAAAGAGCTTAATTCCCTCTTTTTGCCTCATTTGAGGGATGCCAGCCTCTCTCAGATGAACTCCTGGGCACAGGGAGGGGTTTTGGGGTGTCCTGTGCATGCCAGGGCTTGGATTGGATGATTCCCTCCCAGGATATTCCAGAATTTTAGGGCTGTGCCCATGCAGATACAGAGCTACAAGTGGCATAAAGCTGATTTTCCTGAGCAGGCAGGACAAGCACCTCCCCAGAAACTCTCCCAAGCAGAGAAGGGGGGATCCAGGGGGGAGAAAAGGGGCAGCTCTGCCTGGGAACCAGACTCCTGCCACTCACACAACTCCACAAAAGCTCCAGCTGGGAGGCTCCTCTCAGGGATGAGGTTCAGTTTAAAGGTGAACCAACTGGCCCAGCTTCGAGCCAGAACTGAGAGAAAAACATCCAGATTCCTCTGGGCTGCTCAGCTGGTTTGTTTGTTTGGAATCCCCCAGGGCAGGGGAAGATTCCAAGCTCCCTGCCCCACTTAAAAGCATCCAAAGCTGGGAATTCCTTACTTGCCTCAGCTACATTAACTCAATCTCATTAAACTCCACCAGCTAAGGGATTGTTCTCTGAGCAGGGAATCAAACATTATCCAGCTGACCATCTGGATCTCTGCAGAGAGCTCCAGAAGAAGCTGTAAGTGACAGAAAGAGCTGAAAGCCCAATTTTGTGGGGATTTGTCCTCGATTTTGACACCTCCTAAGAGGAAAATTCAGGGGTTACCTGAACTGCAATCCAGCTGGCGTTCACAGCGTGTTCTCCAAACGGCCCAAACCCTGCAAGAGAAGAAAAATTCACAGATTTGACTCAACTTCAAGTTGCAAAGAGGTTTGAGCTTTCCTGGGAAAAAAAATCCCTCCACTTCTACCTGTCAATCCTTATTTCTTTACACCTGAGTATCAAACAAGACTCCTGCACTGAAATATTTCAACTCCAGCCTTGTACAGCGAAGGAAAACAACAACTTGCTTGAAAAGAAACTTGGTTTTTGACTGGGGAGAAGAATTTTCCTTCCTGCCCAGGTTAGGAAAATTCATTATTACCAGCTAACTTGTCACAGAATTAGAATCATGATTGGATTTTCTATTCCTGATTGCTTCAGCCCACAGCAGATGCTTCCACAAGCCTGCCTCAAATGTTCCTTCTCCACTCAGGGTCTTCTCCAAGATCTTCGTTAGCATTAATTACACCTCCCAAGGAAATAAACAGAGCTGTTGACAACCCACCCACAGCCCAGCAAAGGCTACCAAGGCGTTATCAAAACCACTTCCTTCAGCACCTCGAAATTCCTAATGAATAACTTTGGAGTTAACTGGTAATCCATAACATCTTTTTTTTTTCTTTTTTTTTTTTTTTTTTCCCTGAGCAAGCACACAAAGGTTGGGCAATTTATCTGGGCGTAACGTCGATACGCTTTAATTTAAAATGTCAGCCTTGCCCTCCGAGCCTCGTGCAATTAGGAGCCATAAATTCTGCCCAGCCCCTGAAAGGATCCGAGAGGGACCACAAATATCAGATGACACCTTAATGGAAATGTGGGATTTGCCCTCCTCCCCAGGCAGGCTGAGGTGATGCTGCTCAGGAGGAATTTCCCAAGCGTGGGCTCGTCCACGCCCGTGGATCTCAACCCGGCTCGCCAAAATAAATATTCCCACAAAATCCAAAATGTTGGGGGTGTTTTCCTGTGAGCAGAACTGCAGGGGTGTGAGACAAACCATGACAGGGGAAGGAGGCAAATTAATGCCTTCCCAGCTGTTCCTGCAAGTCCCACACGACTCTCTGGAAGAAAACACCGAGACCTGCTAAGCTGAATTCCTAAACACGGCGTGACAATCCTATAAAAGAAACGAAATCCATTATTTTAACAACTCAGCCACGGAAAGGCTGAAATTCTACAGGTGCCCAGGCACAGGGCAGGATTGCCTCGCTCCAAATTCCACATCCAAGTGGCACAAACACAGCTGGGGTTATCGCTGCCCTGACTCATCTCCTGCCCAGAGCCCTCGCGTTATCCCTGGCTGGGAACAGAAGGAACTTTGTGGGCAGCACCCGACCCCACGGAGCACATCCAGGCTCATTAGCAGCAGAACCAGCTGCAGGGGATGCTGATGGGATTATCTCCTTAACGAGTTCTAAAAAAGAAATTGTGCACAAATAACGCTTATCCTCGGCCAGCCCAGGCTGGGAACCCACTGGGAACACGACACCGAGCCCAGCCCCGGACGGAATTCCACCTGACATCCACGGCCCCCTCAAACAGGGGCAGAGCTGACAAGGCAACCGCTGCCTTTTGCAAGCAGACTTCCCTGAAATTTAAAAAAAAAAAACCAGCGTGGAGGAGCCTTGCGAGCAGCAGAACGTCTCCTGACGCAAGTTTTCTGTTTAGTCACCGCCGCTCCACGCTGGATTTGGGGCTGGGAGAGGCAGGGCTTGCCACCTGCTCCTGGAAAAAGGCACTTCTTGCCCGCGATCGCGGCCGCTCTGCTATTCAAACAGCCTCAACTTCAGCTGCCGGGGGGAGACCTGAATAGTTTGGGCGAGTTCCCCATTTGTCACAGGGCGGCCTCACCCACAAATCACCCCGAGCTGCCTTTGTACCCCGGGAAGGGGCTGACAGCGCCGGGGCCTCTCGCTGCCTCCGCTCTTTCCTCCCCCCGGCGCTTCTGCCGCGCCTCGGGGCAGCTCTGGGGAGCAGCCCCCACACCCTGGGGGCTTTAGGTGGGGCGCTCTGGGGTGATTCCCCCTCTCCCTGCGCCCCAAATTGGTTTTCCTGCTCCTCGGGAGGCTGGGTTCCCTTCTTTTGGCGAAGAGCAGAGCTTTGGGATGGGGTCACGCGCGGAAAAAGGGGACCCTGGCTGGATGAGGGTCAGGAAATCCCCTCACCTCTGTACCCCCCCGGCTCTGACACCCCTGACCCACAGCCCCCCAGACTCTGCCCTGCACCCCGTTTATCACCCTACACAGGGGACAGCCCCTGAAACAGCCCCCGGAGGGGACAGCCCCCCAAAACAGCCCCCCAGAACAGCCCCCCGAGGGGACAGCCCCCTAAACAGCCCCCCAGAACAGCCTCCCGAGGGGACAGCCCCCCGAAACAGCCCCCCAAAAACAGCCCCCCAGAACAGCCCCCCGAGGGGACAGCCCCCTAAACAGCCCCCCAGAACAGCCTCCCGAGGGGACAGCCCCCCGAAACAGCCCCCCAAAAACAGCCCCCCAGAACAGCCCCCTGAGGGGACAGCTCCACTCCCCATTCCCTCTGTCCCCCCCTGACGGGACAGCAGACCCCCTTCTCACCTCAGGGAAGGGGTCCCCCACTTATCCCCTCACGATCTCAGGGAAGAGATCCCCGACTGCCCCCTGTGGTGAAGGGGTCCCCAAAATCGCCCCTGTCCCCCAAATTCCTCCTCACGGAGAAACGACCCCTCCAAGCCCCCCATCACTTCGGGGAGGGGTCTCACACCTTCCCCCGGTCAGGATAAAGACCCCCAGACCCGCTCCCCACCACAGAGCAGGGGTCCCCCACGCACACCCCAGAGCCCCGCTCTGCCTCCCCTCAGGGAGGGCTCCCTCACACCGCCCCCAGCAACCCCGCCATTTCCCCGCTCACCGCCCCGTACCCGTCACCACCACGGCCCGCCGCGGCTTCTCCATCGCGGCTCCGTCCCGTCCCGTCCCGTCCCGTCCGGTCCGTCCCGTCCCGCCGCCGCCGGGTCCGTCCCGTCCCGCCGCCGCCGCCGCCCCGCACTGAGCGCGGCCCCGCCCCGCGCCGCGCCCCGCGCCGCCCGGGCCCGCCGCTTCCGCCGCCGCGGCGGAAGTCCCGCGTTGGGACGGCCTGCAGCGCTTCACCCGTTACCGATCACCGGGGTTCTCCGTGCGCGGCGCAGCCCGAAGGGCTCCCTCTCGCCCGCCTCAGCGCGGGATTCCGGGGGGGGGGGGGGGGGGGGGGGGGGTTGATTAAGCAAAACGCTCACCTTGAGCCTCGCGGGGGTTCCCCGCTTGGTTGTGGGGGAGCACGGAGCGCGGCCGCGGTACCGGGAGGTGCGGAGCGCGTCCCGTCCCGTCGCGGCGCGTCCCGTCCCGGGCGGTGCCGCCGCAAAGGCGCGGACCGGGCGGCGCGGCGCGGCCCGGCCGCGATCCGCGCTCTGATTGGCTGCGGCGGGGCCGCGCCGCGCGCTTAATGGGCGCGGCGG